ATCCTTTACATTGACATCCTTGATCATATTTTGATATGATTTTATATTTTATGATATAATTTGTTTAGATTATGTCAAAATGATTTAATTAATATTAAAGTGATTAAAATACAAAGATAATTCTGAGGGCATCTGGTGCCAGTGAGGGCAGTAAAGACAAATTATTTTTCCAGTAGTTTCACAAAGGGAGGTGTAAAGATGGAGATGTAAGGATTTTTCTAGGGATGAGGTTTAAACAACCTCTCATTTTTATAGACTATAAGTGGATGAAAAATTTCTTTAGCAATTAATGAAAATTTCTTTATGAGAACTATTACTTCTACTGAGATCATCAATTCCTGAAAAAGTAATTACCCATTGCATGTATTAAATATGCTGCCTGAAGATGAGTAAGCTTAGACAAGTCCTTCCTTCTTCCTTCCTTCCTTCCTTCTCCTTCCTTCCTTCCTTCCTTCCTCTTCCTTCCTTCCTTCCTTCCTCTTTCTGTCTGTCTTTCTTCTTTCTTTCATCTTTCTGTCTTTCTCTCTCTTTATTTTTATCACTAGTTCTAGAACCAAACAGGACTGGCATTTCTGACATTTCAACTAGAATTTCTACCACTAATTAGAGAATTTTTTTAAAAAAAATCATCATTTAGTAGTTTGTATGCCAAATCTGTTGTATGACTCAATCAATCAACAGACATTAAGGAATCAATATTGTTGACAAACATATAGGAGGTTTTATTAGTTGAGCAAAAGCTTCTATTTATAGTCAGATCAAATTTTCTAATCTGCTTTACCATGAAGAACTGTGTGGTACAAAGAAAAAAGTACCACACTGGAGAATCAGGAGATTTGAGCAGTAACTTTGACTTTATTGCTGCATGTATGATTTTATGGAAAGCAAATCAAATAACTGAGTCTCATTTTTTTCAATATTATTATGTAGAACTGAACTTGAGTCACTTCCAGTTCATAGACACCATGTCCTCCCTCCTAGAGTTTAAGCTCTGAATAAGTCCCTCTCGTTGGCTGTATAATATCTAGAATTCTTTACTGTCCTGTCATATTCTGGACACAATTAGTATCTCATCTCATGTGACATTACATCATTTGTTCCAGACATTAAGATAATAAATATTGGGAATCTCCATAGCATTTTTTCCTTTCTACCCCTAAACTGAAAGATATTTCTGCAACCTGGAAGTGGTGGAGAGAGAGGATCATGGGAAGGGGCCAGCACAGAAATGTTGGCATTGCCAGGGTTACAGCCACTTTCCTGCATTATCTTGGGGCTTCATATCTCTTAGGAATAAAAGAAGACTTATTAACTCTTCCTTACTGAGCTGAGAATTAGAATAGTCACTGCTTGTAAGAGGAACTATTCTACCAAGTATGGGAGGCCTGGGAAAAATAGAAGTGGGAGGTTATAAGAACATACAGAAGGGAACCTGAGAGGCCAAAGAAGGTGGGCAAACATCCAAAGTATGAGAAGGAGAACCCAGGGACTTTTTTGGGAAGGGAGAGGTTCTCAGTTCAGCACAGGGCATCATTTTCACCAAAATATTTTTATTCCTCATCCTCATGTTCCCAGCCTTTTAGTCAGACTCAGACTTTTCAGACAGAAAAGTGTTAAGTAAGACAGGGTTTACTTAAGATGCCCTTGATTTTTATGGCAGGTGGTCTCTGCCCATGGACATGCTCTTTGGACAGTGTGAAGGACTATTTTCAGACATAACAGAGAAGTAATATCAAAATAAGATTGGGATTTCACTACATAACCTCAAGGTTCCTTCAAATCCCAAGTACCAGTGATTTTAAGCTTGATTTTAATTATAGCTCGGAAGTCTCAACCCCACTTTATAAGTCCTTTAGACTTTTAAGTTTATAAATTCCACAAACTCCCTTCTTCTCTATGGAATGGTGGAATAGATCACATGGCCATGTGGATGGGTTTGAAATTATATGGTTAGGAGCAATAAGATTTAGACTGTAAAAATTCTACAATATAAGGGGCTGTGGAACAATAGGAGGACCAGATACTAATGAATTATATAGAATGTAGTGAAATATATATACTATATGAAATATAATATATCATATTCCATATATAATACTATACCTATACTAGACATCATCCCATTCCCACCACATAGCTTTCCTAGATCACTTTTGTGAAATTCCCATTTATGATGTTTTTCTTTGTGAGAGGACACTTCAGAGTCTCCTCTTTTCCTTCACCCTCCCATCATATCTCAAAGACTTATTGCCGTTACTCTGGTAGTTGTAGTCTTACTTGTCATTGTCCTCCTCCTCAACATTTTGTGGTAACTATGTGTGAGGATCTATTGTAAGTATTTTACCCACAATATCTCCTTTAATCCTCAGCACAATGTTATTAAATTGTTACTATTTTTGGTTTACAAAAGAGGCAACTTTGATGCAGACAGAAAAAAAAAATCATTTGCCCACAATTACAAAGCGAGTGAACATTGGAACCAGAATATTCCAGGTTGATGCCACCGCAGAACCAGAGAAACTGAGGGTTAACAAGGGAGCTGGTAGAAAGTTGTCTCCTTAAAGCCTCAAAAAAAGTCATTGAGATAACAAAGTGTGCATCAGACTGGCCTCCAGATCAGATATTTTCTAGCTTTCAATTAAACTTCATGTTTATCCCTGCTGGCAGTTGGAGACAGAAGCTATAAGGTCAGAGAAGTGGTCTGAACCTATGCAAAAAAGGTAAAAGAGGGCAGCTTTCCAAGTTCTAATTATAGATGAGAAATTGGACAGGAATTAACAAAAAGAAGTAGTAAGATCTGGAATTCTGGTCATTCAAGGTGATTATATGTGCAAGCACAGAAGGAAAGATGAGATAGACAGACATGTTCAAAGTCAGAGAAGCAGGATTTGGGGTATTTGTAAGACAGACACAGTGAGGGATAAGCAAGGCTGTAAGCGTCACTCCTAAAATATGTTGTTAGATTTTACTTACAGTATAAACAGTCAGAAAAACTGAATTTATCTCTGCAATTTACTTGTTTATTTATGGCTCTCCCATTTTCTAGAAAGTTGCCATTTTTAAACATCCCTGGTAAATATCTACTGCATTTAGGGTTTACTTACATGAGACTAGAGAAGAATAGAGGGGATTTGAGTGTCTCTAAAGGCCAAAATAAGCTTTACAATACAGAAATTTATTTACTTACAATAAGAAGCCACCTGTCCCATAAATTATAAATTCTCATATCAGCATTTTGGTGAGCATGGATGCTTGGCAAATGATGTACGAGTGGGATATTAAGACGCAACTTATCTTCTTACTTCAAAGATGTTTTTCTTGACCACTGAAGTGGGGAAAAATATTTTCTTATTTGTTTTGAGTATAAATCATTTAGTGGCAAGGTTGGACACCTACAGGCTTATCCTGGCCATAATATAATGGTTGGACACCATTATATATAAGGTTGGACATCATATATACAAGGTTGGACACCTACAGGCTTATCCTGGCCATAATATAATGGTTGGACACCATTATATATAAGGTTGGACACCATATATACAAGGTTGGACACCTACAGGCTTATCCTGGCCATTATATTATTTATATATTCTGAATTTTAAAAATCAGAACCAGAGCCAATTCTATCTTCCTTAAATTACATATATTATCATTATAAGATTTTCTTTGAAAAATTTATATATTATTTCAATTAAGCTTATCTTAACCTGTATTTATCTCTTGAGGATGACAGGCCCAAACCAAACATATTAGAATTGATTATCTGAAGAAAGCAGGCTAGTGATGTCAATTATACAATTCGGGATAGGTTAGCAAAAGCAATAGCCATGCTGGCAATACTTGTCTGAATTCTGAAAAGGTAACCTGCATGGTATGTTATCATTGTGGAAGCAATTATCAAGCTTAGACAGATAAAGGAATTTAATGTAAATCACTGCAGGGGTCATTAAAAAAAAACTAATGTAAAACTAATGACCCTGGCCAAGAAAGTTCCTAAAGAAAATCATAGAAATAAAAATGTAGTATAGAATTTGTATATGTGATGCTCTGTCTGGGTGGTGTCTAAGATCATCCACGTTTAGAGAGTATTTTTAATGTTTTTTGCATCTGAGATTCAGAAAAAAAGGTTTTTGTGGTTATAAAGTGGATATTTTACTTAACCAACAATACCTAGCAGTGAAATGAAAAAATGACAAAGCAGAGATGTGTAAATGGGTTAAAGAGTGGTTATAGGTAAATACTGAAGTTTTGCTTTATTTTCCCTCTTTCTTTTTTTTTTACTTTTCCCTGATGTAGATCCTGATGCTATTATTGTCTTCCCTGTTGGAGTGTGATTGCAGAATTGGATTGTGGTTTAATGGTCAACCCATGGCAACCTCCAACTCTAGCAATACTCTGTCCTCTACATTCTACCTCACAGGTATCCCTGGCTATGAAGAATTTCACCATTGGATTTCCATCCCATTTTGTCTCCTCTATCTTGTTGGAATAATGGGCAACTGTACCATCCTGCATATTGTCCGAACAGACCCCAGGCTCCATGAGCCCATGTACTACTTCCTGGCCATGCTTTCCCTCACTGATATGGGCATGTCCCTGCCCACGATGGTGTCACTTTTCAGGGTACTGTGGTCTATTTCTAGGGAGATCCAGTTCAATATTTGTGTGGTCCAAATGTTTTTCATTCATACCTTCTCCTTCACTGAATCATCTGTGCTCTTAGCCATGGCCCTTGACCGGTACGTGGCTATCTGCCATCCTCTGCGATATGCTACCATTCTAGCCCCAAAATTTATTGCCAAGATTGGAATTGCAGCCCTGCTTAGGAGTGCTATTGCAATGATTCCACTTCTGGCCCGTCTGGCCTTTTTCCCCTTCTGCCACTCCCATGTCCTTTCTCATTCTTATTGTCTGCATCAGGACATGATCCGCCTTGCCTGTGCTGATATCAAATTTAATGTTGTATATGGACTGGTTCTGATCACTGTGCTGTGGGGTATGGACTCTCTGGGTATTTTCGTATCTTACATTTTTATTCTCCACTCAGTGTTAAGAATTGCATCCCATGAAGGGAGGCTTAAGGCCCTCAATACATGTGCATCCCATATCTGTGCTGTGCTCATTTTGTATGTGCCTATGATAGGGCTATCTATTATCCATCGTTTTGCCAGACACTCCTCCCCGCTCATCCACATTTTTATGGCTCATATCTACTTATTGGTTCCACCAGTGCTCAACCCAATCATCTATAGTGTGAAGACCAAGCAGATCCGCCAAGGAATACTTCACCGGTTACTCCCCCACAAAAATTAGTTCTACTGTGATGTAGGCACATCCGCAAGACAATGGTGGTATTAGTACTAAGGAGGTAAACTCACAGTGATTTATCTTCTCTGGGTATGTTGGAAACAGAGTTGCCAACAAAAGGCTATTTAAAAAGCAGAAATAGAGCCAAGAGAAAGTCATGAAGAGGTTCTAAAGGAATGAGTTGGTGTCCACTGGGACTATACAGCCTAACTTAGCATGTGTTGCATAAATCCTTTTTGACTATGAATACAACAGAGAACAATGTGTTGGAAATCAGTTTTATCTATTCTCTCCGGTTTATAATCCCAGACTTTACTTAAGGTCATTTGTCCATGATTTTTCCTTGAATATACCAAACCCACATTTTTTTTTATTCTTGATATTCTGTATTTGCCATAGAATTTTATGCTACTTTATATTGTATAGTTGCTGTGTTTGTAATTCTACTTACTCCATCTTTCATAAAGATAATAAGATCTAGTATTGATATAAAAGCATATTATGGCTCAAAGCAGAAGTTATCAACCCTCATGGACCATCTGTATCACCTCTTAAATGTTTATGTACATATTCTACCCTATTGGAGCAGGTTTAATTTCCTCAGGAACACAAAGGGCAACCTCCATATTTTTTCTTTTACTTAATTTTGTAAATAATTTTAACCTTAAAGAAAGTTCAGACCTAGTTATTTTTCAAAAACCCCAGATATTATCATGTGAAGTCAGTGATTATAATCCATTGATTTGAATGTATTTTAATAATACTTTAAGGTACACTACTTATTTAAATACAAAAAATGTAGCTCATTGAGGTATAGCTACTTATAAATTTGTGGTAATGGGAATCATATAATACAGGACTTCTCTTTAATTTTCATCAAGCCCTGTTTTCAATATACAACATTATCTTTGTATCTCTGAAATTATCTAGTACATGATTGTGCACAGAATTGTGTAATAATACAAATGTTATGAATTTTCTTAGTTCACATCTACACTTGTTCAAAGGAGAAAGAAACAAGGGGAAAAAGAAGACTTTAAGAGTGCCTTATGGCTCTCAATATTTGTATAGATCTTAATAATAGGTAGTGTGTTTTCTTGTATCTTATTCTAACTATTGTTGAGCAGGAAATGCAAAAATTGGCACTATCCTTGGTGTAAATGAGGCACTCAATAATTACTGAATGTATATATGATAAATAAGTGAATCAATGATTGATTAAAGAATAATTAGTTTACATTAAAATATATTTTTAAAAAATCCTGTAACTGGCATGAGCCCGTATTTCATACAATAAAAGAAATCTTACTAATTTATAATTAGAATTTCAAATGAGGTACACCTGGAAAAATCTATAAACTTCTGTCTGCTCCCTGATTTTAATCCAACTATGCCTGTTCCCATCCTTCTTTTTTCTATTTCTTGATTCTACTTCTTGTTACCCATCTCCTTCAGCATATTCAACTTGATCAAAGAGATATAAACTAAAAATATTGCAAGAAATATAAAAATCAAAATGAGACATCTTCTTAGTATAATAATTAAAATTGATGAGAAAAAATTTTGAGAATATTAACATCATCATCAGATATAGATTGTACAAATAACAGTTAACTATTTATAATCACCTTTAAAGAAAGATCTTCAAATGCAGAATATATTTCTAACATATGGATGTTTAACATAATTTTCTTAGTGACTGTTCTCCAAAAATGAAAACTTTTATTAAATTTTTGTTAATAGAATTATATTTAAAATATTGAATCCTAGATTTTTAATTTATATCCCAGAAAAATTATTTCAAGTGAATATTTGCATTAATTACCAAATACTTGAGTTTGCAAATCACCTATTATACTAGCTGTTAAAAGTTATCATAAGAATTATATTTGTAAAATATATCTTTACAAAAATATTTAGAAAACACATATTCTCAAAATTAAGATAATCCTTCCCAGTAAAATAAAATTAGTGAAGAGACAAGGGGTTGAATATATGAATGAATAAATAAATGGATGGAAATATTATATTATGAATTGAGAACAGAAGGATTATTTTACTTTTAGAAACTTGATAAACGCTGGAGTTCAGTGTTCTAGTGTATAGCTAGTTCTTCTAAAACAAGAAGCTCTTTTGGTCATGCTTAAACTTACTTTAATATAAATGGACCTTCTATTTCATTTGCATATAGGTTTAAAAAGTAGGAGATGTTCTTACTCATATTACCTTGTTAGATAATGTCATGAGTTCTGAAAGCATTCTGCATTTCTGCAGAATCTGTAAAATATATACAGAAGCTCAAATAACAATTTTCAATTTTGTGTTCTAACCTTCTATCATTAGGTAAAAATACAATGCAATTATTTTCATAGTATCGATTGCTATCCTTTGGATTATGCACTCTTTATCTTTATGCTGCAAAAGGGCCTTTGTGGAAAAACATGAGAGCAGGAAAAAACAATATCAGAGAACACTATTATCCCCTTCACCATCTAAATGCTCGGCATTTTCTTCTATATAAAGCATTGTTGAAAAACACTTCATTATCCCACTTAGCCATGTAGTTATTCAATCTAATAACTTGAACAATAAAAAAATCATTACAAAGCAGCGTGGATTGCCACTGATTACACAAAAAAATCTAGATACATTTGTAATGTAACATTTGTAAAGTGAATGATAGCATTATAGTTTTTTCAAGACACTCAATCCAATTAATTCAACCAACAGAGCATGTATATGTTAATATTATGTTCATGACACACATTTTATAATCTCAATAGTAGGGAAATATTTTATTAATATTTCTTTTATTAATATAGAGGTGAATATTTTATAGTGGTAAAGAGGGATTACATTGCAGAAAATATGGTAGATAAGTTTATAGATTATAAAGTATGTCCCAGGTACTATAAAATATAATTAGCAAGAACACTTGGTTCTTGAGAGGAGCTGAACTAGGACAATTGCATGTGCTTATCAAAAAAAAACAAAAAAACAAATGAATCTAATGAACATAATTCTGATCATTTACCATGATTTCATCTTCTTAAGAATTGCACTAATATACTTTCATGCGTATTAAATCAGAATTCTAAGGGATATTACAGACTTATTCAAGTTTAGCAATCTGAACCAATCTGGGGAAATTATACTTATTATCCCCAAATCATTGCAGGTTGATGTCATCACCTGCATTAGAGAATTTCATGCTCTCTTGCTTTTGAGATACCATAGCAGCCTGGCTTTTGTGCTTCCTGAGTTATAGTTATTCAGCTTATTCTTGGGTGTCATGATATAACTCAGAATATTTCCCTGAGATATCTTGCTGTTTTGGTAATTTAATCTAACCAAAGTGAATTTCTAACAGGCATAACCAAAAGAATATTACAATAAGGCATTAAAGGAGATGAGAAACAGATATTTTCTGGAAACTAAGGGAAACGTTTTTGAGAGAAAAGAAAAGAAGTATTTTATGTATAGGTCTTACACATAAGTATGTATCAGGGAGTTTATTAAACAATTAACATTTATTATTTAATTAATTTAATTTATTAAATTTAATTAATTAAATTTAATTTAATTTAAATTAATTACATTAATTAAACTATTTATCTATTCGATAAGTATTGTTGTTAAATTACTTGTGTATTCTGGTTCTTGCGGATTTAGTGGTGAGACTAGGATCAGAAGTAATAATCCCTTACCTCATGGAGTTTATATTTTGTCCTGTCCATAGAAAATTGGTATAGAAGAGAGGTCCTGTATTACAAAAAGCATATTTAAATGACCTACATTGTTATGCTGATGTCCCAATGATTATTACCTTAATACGTTGAAACACCCCTTAATAGTACTGAAATTGCCTGTCAACCTCCTGTTTATACCATGTTTGGAAGATGGTACTTGGAAATATGAATATTTTAATTTCTATTCAAATGTTAGGTGTTCTGGGGATAGATCTGACCAGATTATTGATTGGTCAGACTTGATTGATTCAGACTTGATATTTAAGCCTGTTTATCCAACCCTAGTTTCCCATGTATCTTGTTGTTTCGTTACTTTTCAATCATTTTGGTTGGCTACAGAGCCCTAGTACTCGTATCCTTATCTCTTTGGTCTTTACCCCATAAACAATGGGGTTCATGGTAGGTGGTACCAGTAAGTAGAGGTTGGCCAGGAGGATAAGGGTCTGCCTAGACACATGGTGCCCAAAGCGATGAGTAAAGAAAGAAAAGAAGGCCAGAATATAAAATATCAATATGACACATATATGAGCTCCACAGGTTCCAAAGGCTTTTGTCTGGGCCTTCCTAGAAGGTAGCTGGAAGACTGTTCTCAAGATTAGCCAGTAGGAGAGGGAGATGAGGACAAAATCTAGCCCTGTGGTTAGAAGAGCAGCAGTGAGCCCATAAATGCTATTAAGGGTGATGCTGTTACAGGCCAACTTGGCAATGCCCATGTTCTCACAGTAGGTATGGCGGATGATGTTGCTCCTGCAGAAATGCAGCCGGAGAATAAGAAGGACACCAGGGATGACTACAGCCACACTCCGAGCCACCAGAGCCAGGCCCACTTTGCCAATGAGAGAACCTGTAAGTAGGGTCGTGTAATGAAGTGGTGCACAGATAGCCACATAACGATCAAAAGCCATGGCCAGTAGAATAGCAGATTCAGAAAGGAAAAGAGCATGAACAAAAAACATCTGTGTGAGGCAGGCAGGAAATGTTGACAGAGAAGGGCCTTGCCAGAAGATGAGAAGCATTTTGGGGACTGTAACAGTACAAAGGAGGACATCGTTGAATGCCAGCATGGCCAGGAAGAGATACATGGGTTTATGGAGGTTCCTGTCCCAGGCCACCACTGCCATAACCAGACCATTACCTATCACAGCCAAGAGGTACATGAAGCCGAAAGGAATAGAAATCCAAATTTGGAAGTCTTCTAATCCTGGGACACCCATCAGCAGAAAGGCAGTGAGGCGAGCAGATGTATAGTTGGATGTT